TTTAAATTTATGATTTTTCCTATGTACGTGTGGTCCATCTTATTAGTTACTAACTTGCTAATTGGTATCTGGTGGAAGAAATTATGAGTTGTGAAAGATATATTGGCCCAACCATTGATAAAGTGAAAGCAGCCTATGAAATTTTGAATTCTGGAAGTAACAATTTCAGGCGCTCCATGAAGAAGAAGAGATAAACTTGTTTTAACAGGAAAACAACTAACAAGATATTAATTAAAAAAAACAAATAAATAAATCAATAAATCAAGTTCACTAACAAATAATGGAATGTTCAATTTTTGCACTTAATGTTACAGAGAGACCTAGCAACTAGAGAAATTAAATTAGTCAGACAAATGACGCCATTGCATATAGACATGTTGCGGTAAGGAAGTTTAGATCAAATTCGCCAGATGTCGGTGGCCAAAAAGAGAGTATATACCTACAGAAAAGTGGGTGATCCTGCCAAATCTTGTATGCTCAATAGAAACAGGTCAACGGGTTTATCTCTCCACCAAATGTTTGTCCAAAAAAGTAGGCTAAGTATGTGAATCATAAGCCCGTGCCAAAGTCCCACTCCTTTAGACCAACTTTTGGCTTATCATATTTAAAAGATTCTTGAAACTCTTAAATTTTGTCATTGAACCAAAGAAGTAAAAACCGTATCAAATTGGTTGGTACGGTCGATACATATCGGTTTTGAAAGTTGACCAAAATAATACAATATTAATTTTTATTTCGATCAAAATCCGATTGTTTCAATCAAAATTCGATGTTTCGATCAAAATTCAATGTATCGATCGAAATTTCGATGTACCGGTCGATTCACCGAAATTTTAGTCAGTACACACTACAAATTTAAAAAAAAAAAGATTCTCTAACCCAAAACGACGTCGTTTTGGACTAAAGGCTTCTTCATAGCCTACAACTGCAATACACAGAAGTTGTCCGTATAACTCAATTTAAATTTAAAAGAGTAAATATCATTTTTATCCTTAACTTTAATGTCATATATAATTTTCATTCTTTAACTTTTTTATGTA